CAAAGTCTAGTTAAAAATAAACAGACAGATGGAGAAGATCAGAGGAGAGAGAAGATAAGAAGTAGTCATCTCAGAGAGGGAGAGAACAAATTAGATGAATGTGTTAAGTTTGCTGGGTAAGACTGGGGTCCACTTCAGAGAGATGGCCATAGATTCGAGGCATACAGCACAGTAGTGTGTTTTATGGCCATATACAATGTTTGGGTATAGGCATGGAATAGATAAAGTATTAAGTCTAATCAGCACTGTGATTTTGCCAGTTGAGTACAAAGGAATGGTGTCATCATTAATAACAATGAAGTGTATATCTGTAATCTTGGTGCTCATGGTGCAGCATCAACATTGCCTCAAATCAGAATCTGTATTGTAATAAGACCTCTAAATGATCCACATGCACTTTGAAACTTGAGAAATACATGAGTTGGAGCCAAGTGAGAATAGAAAAAAAAATCATTAAGAGAGAGGACAGGTTAAAGAAGTGAGAGATCAGGCTTTACATGACTCCTCTAGGTAGATTTTACAGCCATCAAAATTGATGGCAGGAGGAATGACAGAATCAAAGAAACAGGCATATAAGAAATTGTCCAGGTGACAACAAACAGCCTGTGAGGCTTGGAGTCCTGGTGATTAAAGCAAATGAATATGAAAGAATAATGGGACAGCTGGGCATGGTAGCACTTGCCTAAAGTCCCAGCTACTCTGGAGACTGAGGGCAAAGAATCACTGGAGCCCAGGAATTGTAGGCCAGCCTGGGTTACCTAGAGGGAGAGAGAAAAAAAGAGACAAAGAGGGAGGGAAGGAGGAACAAGAAAGAGAAGACAAAAGAAAAGAAGTAGAATGGAAAAGCAAAAATTATGTGATTAGTTCTGGTAGTCTTTTAAGAGAAGGAGATAGTTGTGGTTGTAGCCTCATTGCAGGATTGGTCTCTTGGGCAATCTGTCCTGATCATGAGGCAACACTGTAGCGGAAAGAGCTGTGGTTGTACTAGGAGCACATGAGACTGTGCATGTAGAGTAACTGAGGGGGAAATGGTAAACTTCCTTTAGATCCACACATCAGCATGCCCTTGGCAACGAATTGTCTTTATACAAAAAATTATTAATTGCTTAGATTTAGGATAACTACCCAAAAATCTATGTTTGTACTAGAGAGTGTCATAACTCCATATAAGACAATAGGGGTCTAGGGTATATATATATATATATATATATATATATATATATATATATATATATACACACACACATATATATACATATTAGTTGTAGAGGGACACAATAGTTTTACTTTATTTATTTACTTTTATATGATGCTGAGGATTGAACCCAGTGCCTCACATGTGCTAGGCAAGCACTCTACCACTGAGCTATAACCCCAGCCCTAGAGGGGTCTGTTTTTCTTGAAAAGAAGAGAGACAAGGACTCTCTTAAGGGAGAAAGGAATAGAAGGTGGGGAATACAAGACAGTAAAACTTCCTGGTAGCAGCTAAAGGATATGATTAGAAATGTGAGGCCTCCTGTTCTGAGATTGGGTAAGTTTCTCCTCTAATAAAAACCCTCTGCTTGGGCTGAGATTGTGGCTCAGCAGTAGAGCACTCACCTAACACGGGTAGGACCCAGGTTTGATCCTCAGCACCACATAAAAATAAAGGCATTGTGTTGTGTCCATCTACACCTAAAAAATAAATATTTTTTTAAAACCCTCTGCTTTTCTTCAAAATGTTCAGTATAGTCTCCTGTTAACATGAGTATATTTTAAATGGAACCTTGTTTATATTGGAGAGAGTTGGAGATCAGCCCTGGTCACAAGCAGAGGGGGAYATTCAAATGTAGGCTCCTAGGAAGATTTTTTTAAGAAATGGAAGAGAACTTTGAAGAATAATGTCAGTCATCTATCTAAAGGACAGCTACCTTATTTTTGAGGACTAGCTATCTTCTTTCTATGCACACTCCTTTTTCATCTCAAAAACTCTCTTGTTCTTACAAAAATACTTGTTTAAGGGACTGGAAAACATACTAATGCGTTAAAAATATACACTGAACATTACATAATTCTTAATTCCTTAGGCTAGGTGTTTTTCTGGGGCAATAGAAATGCAAAAAAAAGCATCAATGAAATCAAAATATTCTTTTTAAAAATCTGAATTCTCATAAAAACATCCAAAAATATGTTAATTGTTCAACAAACAGAAAATTGCCCTCTCAGTTATATCTACTTTTGTTTAAATTGCTCATTCTTAAAAAGTTGGCAACCAGAGAATAGAGAGGGACAAAGCTCAATGGATAATCCATCTAAGAAGCTAAGCATTTCATTTTTATGAAATAACACACAAATCAAGGATCATTACTTTTCATAACAATCCATTTCATGGGGCTGGGGATGTGGCTCAAGCGGTAGCCCGCTCCTTCGATCCTCAGCACCACATACAAACAAAGATGTTGTGTCTGCCAAAAAATAAAAAATAAATATTAAAAAAATTCTCTCTCTCTCTCTCTCTCTCTCTCTCTCTCTCTCTCAAAAAAAATCCATTTCATGTATCTCAAGGTCTATGATTTTCCAGAAAGGATTAACAATGACTGAGAAAAAAATGAGCTGGGCACCTTACCTAGCATCTGAGACCACTGGGGTCTTCCAGTATAGACACTCTGCTCAAAACTCAGACAATTCAAATTAGATGCAAAGCTGTAATTATTATAGAAAACTGGATTATAATTATCTTGGCAATCACCCATGAAAATATTCCCCAAATCTATTTAAAAATTGAAAACAGACTAAGATCTCTAAGCATATCTAGGAACTATCTTGCTATGCTAGCTTCATTCAACCTAAATTTGCATTTATTCCTTAATCATAGGCTGAACCAGTTCTCTACCAAGAGGAAACAAATTAATTCTGGGCTCCTGAGGAAAGAGCCTAGTAGATCTCTTATTTCTTACAGATAATAAAGATGCAATCAACTATGATCAAATAATCACAGTACCATTTAATATCACTGGGACAATTCAACAGGAAAAGCACATTTCCATCTTTGAAGAACACACACACGTATACACATTCATACATATACATTATGCATATATATACATATGTAATATATAACACATATCAAACACACACACACACACACACACACACACACACACACACACACACTGAGTCTTTCATATCTTTAACCTTACAAAATAAAAGCCAAAGAGTCTAAATTTCTTTTTATCTCACAGTGAAATAATTAAGACTATATTCAAGATGCCAGAATTCTATGTGGAATTATCTAGGAGGGGCAGTTGATGTCTACAGAAATTTTTTTAAGAAATACCCTGTCTTAAAAATAAACCAAAAAATAAAATTTCTACTTCTGCCTTTAGGATGTTCAGAATTATATTACACATACTTTCACCTCAGAAAAACTTTCTCCATCAAAGTCTAAAGCCCGAACTTCCATTATTTGACAAGAATTCACATAGATTCCAGCATTATTCTGTGTTAAAATGCCCTTGAGAAGGATTTCCATTATTAATCATGACTATAATTTATTTAATAAGACTTCTGAGCTAGGAGCAAATTGGATTATGAGGCTATAGAAGTGAATTTGAGGAAGGGAACTGAGATCACAGCAATCTCCTCTCAATGATAGCAGGCTCTAAAAGAATTCTCAACAAGAAGGCAGAAAACCAGAGCTGGAGTTCATCTATTCAATCTAGGTATCATATCTCTTATCTGAAAAATAAGAAGGCTTAATTTGATGATCTCTAACGAGATTTTAAAAATGCAAGGACTTTCATAAAGTAAGGTAGCTCTGGCTAGAAGTCCATAATCAGTCATAAAGGGCTAGCAAGTAGAGAAACAAAATGTCCCTAAGATGATCATGAAACCACTGATGGAAAAAAGAGAGGAGGCACTGAAGGAAGCATCTCCTTTACTGAAATTACACAAGTAAGTTCCAGTGCTTACTTAATGTGTTGAAAAGCACTTCTATGGTGAAATCATAGGAATGCCTCAGGAATAAAAGGACCATAAACAGAGAGGGAAGAAACCTGTATTCACATTGGATCACTGCTTTCTCAAATTTGGATTTTTAAAAAGTGTAAAAAAAAAAAAAACAGTTTTACCCAGGGAAACAATTTCTTAAAAATAACAGGATGATAAGCAGTATTCTTGGATTTGCTGGCAAATTAAAAATGGTGACCTTTATGTTTTCTATCAAGAGCACTAATATTGAAATACCTTAAGTAAAATTCATTCCTTCTTTCAGCAGAAATTTACATGTGCCTAGTCTGTGCTTATATTGGTTGTGGAAAAAAGATATGATTATAAAAAGATACCCCTTTTCTGAAGTTTACAATATAGTATAAAAAACAAGAGATATATTAATAAATGCAATGAAATGTGATGCAACTGTACTAAGCACAGGTTAGGGGTTTGAAAGAAGAGGAAATGTTTTTGTTTTTATTTATACTTTTGAAAGATCACAGTTTCTTCACTAGCCAAAGTCCAGAATTCATACTAACCAAAGTCCAGAATTTCTAAAGATAAGTTYAGACACTTACTAAAAAAGAGCAGCTCCTAAGCCATCTGCATTGCCCAAAAATTAAGATCAGTCAGAGGCAAATTTTCATTTCACTCCAATCCTGTGATAATATTATCATCAGATGGGGAAAGTAACATTTGTTTTGTGAATGACATGGTAACAAATCTTGCTTTATAAAATGGCTATAGTCAATGCTCCTTTTGGATTTAAAAAAAAAAAGCAAACCATCACGTGAGCCCCAAAGTCACTCACTTTCAGCAAATTCCTTTAATCCATTTAAGTGTCCTGTTACTAATCTTCTGATGAAGAAATATGCAAAACACAGAACTTAAAGTGAACAACAGAACCTTGTTATAATCAGACAGAAATACATTACAAAATACCCTGGAGGGTGTAAAAAGAAATTATTTCTCAAATTCATATCACACAAAACTTCAGATTATAGAAACAGGCTAAACTGATGTATTTTTACCTGGTAAGGAACAATACTGCCATGAGCAGTGCCCCAACGTTTTGCTTCCTTTTGGCCAATGAGATAATTAACAGCTACCTGGGTCAAACATGCCACCTGCCAGAAAAAAAAATTAAAGAAAAATAAAAACAGTTAAGTTTATCCATATTTATGAACAGAATATTATATGAAAGTTTTTTCACCTCATGTCATTATAGAAGAAAAAAATGCCTAACCAGTTAGAAAATATACAGGCATTTATACTCAGTGTTATGTTATTGCTTGAGACTAAATAATAATCAACTGAGAAATATAAACACATAAACATTCAGCTCCTGAAAAGATCATCTGAAGACAGAAGGTGACCAAGCATTTGGATCTTCAGTCCAGCCCTGAGCATCAAAGCCATAACAAAACACATGGGCCATGAGTACATGCTTCTCTCCTCTCCACCTGTATCCTTTCACTTTTCACCAAGGCAACACATGAAAACCATTACTGGGAAGATGAACCAAAGTCAGAAGCTACATTCTTCTAAATTCTCATACATAAAAAATAATACTAGTAAGCTTGAATTTGGTTTAAGTCAATTTAGTTGGGTTTTCTGATACATGTTGCGCAAGAATCCTGACACAGAGTAGCAAGATTTTTTGATATTTTTCAAATATACTAGTGAATCATCCTCATTTAAACAAAAATTACTGTACCACTCCCAACTTGGCCCTAACCCCCATACCCTCATTATTACACTCATTTCTCTTTGTGAGCACCACAGAATCTACTAAAGAAATCATCTAAAACCTCAGGGTTCACTTCCGACTCTTGCAGTATTTCATGAACAAATCTTGAAATCCTACAATACTTCAATTATCTATGAGGATAGCATAAGGATGTGAATTTGGGGTTTGGGGTTCCAATGAATACCTGTACCTTCAGGGACCAGAAATATGTAAAGGAGTTGATCAAATGGTTTTCCATATTTTCCAGGGTGGGGGTGGGAGAGATACTTCTGGCTTCATGACATAACCATGATATTGCATTGACTTGTTTTTTTCCCTATCTAGATCATCAGATGTGACTGGAAGCCTACAAATACATCAATTCAAACATTGAGACTAGATCTGGGAATGACTCAAGGGTTGATTTTTTTTTTTTTTTTTTTTTTTTTAGGGCTTGGTGCCATAACCTTTTCTTGTCCTCTACCTGGCATGGCAGCTGCACCTCCTACAAGAAATATCAATAGGACTCACCCTGGATGAATCTCCTTGCTGGAACAGCTATTCTCCTTTACTTTATTCTTGAGCTTTATGTGCATTTTTACATTCATTTACTGCTCTGTTGAAATTGGAACTGCCTTATGGCAGCTGGTTCAGCTGTACTGCCCAGGTGGCAAAACTAATAAACTTTGAGTCATCCACTTCTGGACTTCCATCTGGTCTTRGGCATTTGAACCATGGAGCACTCCAGGGCTGCCTGGGGCTGCCTAGTGCTAATCACCATTTCACAGATCACTTCTGTGTCTTTCAAAATGGAAAATAAAATCAACATTTTGTAGTAAAAAAATGCCCTGGATGAGAAGTCCAGATTCATGACTTCTAATTTCTGTCAACCTCTAAGTAGTTTTTGTGACTGCAGGTATATAATTTAACTTATTTGACCTTCAAATACATTCTCTGTAAAGTCTTGGACATTTAAACTAAACTGATTGTTTTTAAACTTTAAAAAAAAATCAAAACTCTTACATAAAATCAAATAACACATGAAATCCTAATACATAAGCAGGAAATTTCCAAAGTGCTTTGGATGAATCAGAGTCAAGCCTGCAACATCACTACAGGGAGCATGAACACGGATCACAATTTGCAAAATAGTACATGATCTTAAATTTGCTTCCAAGGTCTATGCTTCTGATTCTATTATTCATCCTAACAGTCTGGAAGATAAAAATACAGAAGGAACGCAATCAAATCACTTCCTCAAAGAGCCTCTTCCTGAATTTGGGGAAATTTTATCAAGTATGAAGTTCTATAAGAGAGGCACTTCTTTGATCTAGCTTTGATGTAGTTATGTTGTGGCTGTTTTTTCCTTCAAATAAATCCTAATGAAAGTCACCCTTTAAGGAGTTCGGATGCAAATGGGGGCTAAGAATTCAAATTAATAAAGGTAATTCCTTGCAAGCAATTAATCACAAGAGGCTTGTTATTTCTATTTCTCTACTTCAAAGTCAACTGGTGGTCAATAGAGCAACATTAGCAAGGCCTGCATGAGGTAACAGATCAGCTGGATGATCACAAGTTTATCTGTAAATCCTACAACAACCTGAGATATTGCCTGGAATTGGCAAGGGCTGGGTTCTAAGCTAGTTATCAACCTGGCTGCCCCGTCTCTTACCCACTACCTTATTCTTTCAATTTTTGACTTCTGTGTTTCTGACCCTGACCCACTTAGAGTGAATTTAAATGAAGGGTCAGAACCTATCTCACAAATTATTGATAAGTGGAAGACCATATCTACTTCCTCCATGCAGTAGTAATTAATGAAAACAAAAAGCAATTCAGAATCAGCAGGGCTACCGCTTGGCAGAAGGTTAAATAAGATTTTAAGCTCATTGCCACTGAAAAAACAAAGTGTGATTTGTCAGTAACTACTCAAAGGCAAAGTTAAGGGGGAAAATGAACTCTGTTTACAAAAAGAAAGCAACAGGGCTAAACTTAGTAACTCAATATTTAAAGGAGGCATTACAAATCTGAAAGTAATCCACTATTTACAAGGATTTATTTTAAGGCAGGAGAAGGGGGAGAAAGTCAATAGCTATGACATGATTGTGTATGAAAAATCAGAGGTTTCCTGGGCAATTAATGACAAATTTTCCACAAATTAAAAGAATGCAGGATGTGACTTTTAGGTTAATAACTATATACTGTATATCCATTCTAAATATTGCATTGGATCATTACTTTCATCCCCTACACTTAGGCTCATTATTTCATCAAGTGGACGCTATATAATTTACTCAGAATGTTGCCTTTATATGGTTTCATCTAAACAAAAAAGCCATCTCTGGTTTAATAATAATCATTCTGACAGCAAAACTCTTATTTTAGATAACAGAGTGTGTCCTGATATTTTTTGTTTCTAACCAGAAAACCAATGGGGTGGTCAAAGTGGATCTCAAAAAGAACAGTCCGAAAAGATATGAGGAAAAATATGCTCAAATATTGTCCAAAGCACCTTCATGATGTCTGTCACTACCTGATCACATGTGTCACTTCCTCCAAATGATCAAGCTGCAATAATAGAATCTTTAGTCTCTAAAAGGGAAATAAGTTTGGCAGGTAAAGTATGTAATATAAACCCTTTGTATGTTCTCATAAAACAAAACTAGAACTATGGTCCATTGCATCAAAACAAGTAAGTTTTTTCTTCCTGCTATGTGCATATGTTCTGGCCTCCAACTAAGTTGGRCTAAACACCAACCATGCAACTAACTTCCCCATATTTCTAAGCATTCTTGAAAGTCCATTTCAACATCATCTTGTATTAAGCCCAACTCCCATAACCCAAGCAAGAAAATATTTTCTCTAACTCTGAATTAATACAATGCCATAAGACTGTTTCTGCACTTTCATAGACTGCCTTATCCTATGATTATAATTTTAAGATGACAAAGTTAAAATGACCTAGATCAATTGTTCCTAAACCTAGTTGTACATTATAATCACCTAGGGAATTCCAAGACCTACCCAGAACTCCTGAATCCAGAAACAGAAGCTGGGGGAAAAAACAATTTAACCAGTGAACTATTAGTTGCACATCTTATTTAAGAATCAAAGTCTTGAGAAAATTCAGTCAAATTACTTAATAGATGACTAAATAAAGAAGTAGAGAGGAGGCATAACTTATCTGAGGTCACCCAGATGATAAACTATTCCACTGAAATTGCTGTCTCCCTTGCTATGATAGTATTTGTTTCTTCTCCTATATCTGCTTTTAAAGTCGTGTCTATTTTAGGGTAGAAAATATGTACTATAAAACCCTTTGTATGTTTTCATAAAACCTAAACAGAGCYTGAACATTAAATTTCTTAACAAAAGAGTTAAAAGAATGATACTACTTGTTTTTTAGACAAATAGTGAGTGACTCTATATATAAGGTATTATGCTAGGTATGGAGTATAAATGAGTAAATGAAAACTATATAATCCAACCTCCTTTGGACTTAAGAACAGTAGGCAAGATAACTAAACAGTTAYAGACATACAGAGGAAAAAACCTGAATGTAGACCATACAACTGAAGCATGGTGAAAAGAGGCATGAAATAAGATTATAGAGGTTGTCAGAGGCCAGATCATGCCAGTCTTTGTAAGTCATGGTAAAGAACATTCTTTGCATATCTTGCAGAATGGTCATTTTAAAGTAACAAATTGTATCATGTCATCCTTCTATTTAAAATTCACAGGGCTTCCCACTGCATTTGCAATTATATGCAAAGAATAAACTAAAAAGAGACAAGAGAAAAAGAGAACTGTTATGGACACTGCAAGAGTCCAGGCATGTTGATGATAGCTCAAACTAGGTCAGTGGCAAGAGACATAGAAAAAAATCAGTGGATTTAAGATATATTTCAGGGGCAGGAAGGATAAAAAAGATTGCATGGTTAGAGTCTAGGAGATAGAAAACTGATGGAGAGGAAAAGATAAACATAAATTCCATATTCCTGGCTGAATATCTGGGTAAACTATGATGGCATTAAAAGTAATAATAAAGTCAGAGAGGAACAATTAAAAGGGGAAAGAAAATAAGAGCCCATGTCWGAATAAGCTAAATTTGTGATGCCTTGACAGAATCAACAGTCATCAACATATGAAAAGTTTTTGAAGTCATCAACTAGGGAAAACAGAAGATAAATACAAAATYGGAAATAATATAAAACAAAAGAAGATAAATCTTCATGTCAAAGACAGTCCTTCCTCTAATCACAGGTATGGTAAAAAAAAAATTAGTTACAAACTACTAGAACCAATTTAAATGCCCCCAAAATAAGAGTTAAGTTAAATACCTTTGATATCACATGTAATAGAAAATAATGCTGGCACTTAAAATTATACAACAGAAGA